CCAAATTTTTTTCATATTGACTCTTTGACGTCATTTTGCTAATATGAATGTGAAAAATCCGTATTTGGTTAGCCATTGAGTTGATATGACAATTTCACAGTTGGCTGTTAGCCAATCAGAAACCAGGAATTTTTTAAATAAATAATAATTGTCATTATTATACATTCAAATTTTATTTTCGGTTAGTGATTGATAACAAACCCCGGATAATTCTCAATATCGTTATTTTCGCTGTTGACGTGTCAGCGAGGAAAAATTATTATTCGCTGTAGAGCCCAAGCCCCAGCGCGGTCGGCAGCTTGTTAAAAAGCCCCCTTTGAAAAATAAGCAGATTGACTTCTTAACCCATTAACGCTTACTAGTTTCCCCTTACAAAGTAAAATAACTTCATCGCCAAACTAAGTTTTAATTCACGACCGCAAAATGCTCAGAAAAGTGGCCATTGCATGTGCTGAGCATTTATTGTATGGCATCAGTCCGCGCCCTTTTTCGTCTGCTTTCCTTTGATTTATGAAAAAATAAGGTTTACATTGACAGATAAAGTTTGAAGAAAACGTTTCGCATGCAGTTTTTAGTATAGATTAATTATGTTTTAAATTATCTTTTAAGATAAATACTACATTTGTGCTTCTTTAGGTTTTCTGGGGACAATTTTTAAAATTTCACAGATTTTGAAACCAATTTTGATTGACAACTTTTTTGAAAAGTTTGAAAAACTTCAATAGCTATATATATTGCGTCAGATTTACTGCTCATGCAACTAGCGAATCAGAACACGAAAAGCTCATTTGATTATGCAAAATTTATGCGGTAATATACTTGGTCCACAAGTCAGCAACTTATTAAAAACGATGCGATTTCTCAATGTGGCCCAGATTCATAAGCAACATGAATCTATACTGATATATTCATTTAACATTTAACTGATCTTATACAAACGCTGTTAACATGCAGAAACTGTGAATTGAAAAGCTGTACTGCACGGTGTGAAAATAAAAACATAATATAACATTAGACATAAAGATGATGTTAGTACCTTTGATCTCGTGCCATTGATATATTCCATGACGTTGAATACAAACCGCGACATAATCACCATTGTGATTTTTACCAACAACAAATTTTCCTCTCTTCTGTCGTGTGCAAGTGCCAGGCTGACGTGCATTGACCTGAAGTGTTTAATATTTAACAAATATAAAACATTTTTTCCGTTATATCAACACGAGTGGAAATTGGGAAAACGAGAAATTGTGTGGAAACACGACGCCCGAAGGGCGGAGTGTTTTCACACAATTTCGAGTTTTCCCAATTTCCACGAGTGTTGATATAACTATATATCAACACGGAAAAAAGTTTTATATTTGTTTTATAATATAGCACAGAGAAACATAAAGAAAGAAATTTTCCGACGTTTCCGTGTTGACATTGAGTTATATCAACACGGCTCTTAGCCAATCAGCGTTCACAATTTACAAATGCTATATTATGTAAATATATATATATTCTAATCCGGATAATTAATTACACTGCATGTATAATTTATAAAAATTATAATTTAATATATATATTCTATATATTTTTGCTATGACCGTGCTATATAAGCGGTCATAGCAAAAAACTCATTCCGTTTCGGTTGTGATATCCACCCTCAGTTAACTTAGAGTTTGCTTCAAGAAAATATATTTTAATTTGTTGGGTAACAGCAACAGGCCCTATAAGAAACTCTAGGTCCTAAAATTTGAAATTCACTCAAATTTGATATTTGAGTGCGTGCATGATGCCTACTTTAATTGGTATATATCGTACATGCTGTATGATCAAAACAATATATTTTATTTGCTTTATTTAAAAACAAGTTAGACATAACGTTAGACTGATTTAAAAATTATTTATGTACTTACTGCACAAAACGTTGTAATGACAAGAGTCAAAGCTAGAACTGATGCCAACACCCTCATTTTTATTTGCGTTGCTGTTGTAAAAATGTCCTCACTCTTGCTTGGATTGAACCTAGATGATGACTAAATATCCGTAAGGAAAGTGCTTTTTTATAGAGAAAATCAAGTGTTCTGATTTATCTCAACTAGATGTCAGTTCGGACTTTAGTATCGAAGGAATTTTTTGTGTAAACGTGTGCACGTATCATGCTGACTTATGTCAACTATAGATGTCAGTTTGACTTTAATATCGAAGGAATTTTTGTGTAAACATGCATGTGCACGTATCGTGTAGTGCATTAAGGACAGAATACATTATTAACAATTATGCTTTTTTCAACTATAAGAATTCTTGTTACTTTCTAGTTAGTTCATAATGGTGATTTGCGTATTTTTTGTAACATGCAGGAATACAAAAAACCTAGTCTTAGTCTGTTATACTTGATGGTTTGTACAACGTGTGGACCCCTTGGCCAGTGTCAAGTGCCCACTTCCCACACAGTATATGAGATTCGTGCATTTGAATTTCACCTCCTCACTCCTGTCTTACGCATAGGAATATATTGGCACGCTAAGCGTACATGCGCAAGGGAATTAATCACGGTTGTTGTGAAAACCTTTATTCACACTTTGCTAGCCTCCCGTCCCCCTCTAAAATAATATAGTGAGTTTGGCAAATACAACGGCATCGTCAATGTCAATGAAGACGTTCTCATCAACAATAGCATTTTTACTCTCAAACAAAGGTGACATCAATTGCATTCCCTTGAGAATTCTAGTACGCCGTATATATAGTTGATCAAAATGCTACGTTATATTTACATCATTTTAACGGCTCATAACGAGGCCAACAGTTAAAAGGTTTTAAATCGTGAGGGATGTTTAATGTCGATTCACTGACTTTTGCTACTTAAGCGTTGTTTGTAAAAATGTTAAGTACTTTTAAGAGGCAAATTAAGTTTATAGTAATTTGGGCTATGCTTTGCCGGCTCCAATCCAAATTGCAAGTGATCAGTTTTGTTTTCCGCTGTTGCCAAACTCACTAATGTAGATGATGGCACAATTGAAATCATCAATTATTATTTAGTAGTATATTTGATATCAAAGGCAAATACAATACACACCAAAGCAATAACAGTTTGGGATATTATTATAGAGAATATCGGTTTCAACTTTTCCAACAATAATTCTGACTGTGGGACATTGCTGATTTCCATACACTTTGTTATATTGTTCATATACATGGTTAGCGCAAACGTGTTACCCAGACGTAGTCCCCTCCCACTGTTCTGCACAACGTTCAGTCCCAACAAATGCAGGGACTGCTGGGAAGGGGGGCATGCCCACTGTTTGCTGTATCAAGAAGTAAAATCACGCATGAAATTCAAATAAAAAGTGTTTTCTAAGGACGAGTGGGAATAATATTTATCCCAGAGATTTAGTTTATGCAAAGGAGTATTGCAAAATTCCTGGTCTGAAGTCGTTCCAATTATTATATTTCGATTGACTGAACTAACAACCATGTTTTTATGCTGGTATATATTTGTGCTCTTGATTCTTCGTCAAAACGTTTTACACAGCATATAATGGATTATAATCCCCAAACATTTCAAAACTCCAGTTTTGTGTTCTTCAGTGGTGATCTGAACTCTAAAGTCGCAACTTGGTATCAAACGAGAGCTG